TCGATTTTACTCCGATGTAGCACTTAAGTAAACGAAAAAAAAAATTGTGTCACTCAAATGAGAACCGTGCAAAAGTTATGTTGCTCCTGTTGTACTTTTCCTAATAAAATTCTATTAAAAATGCCATGTAGCTTTTTGCGGAATTTGTCGCTGGAGACACTCAAGGGATTGTTTTTTCTCCAATGTGGCGCTAAGTGATCCGCCAAAAAGTTTTAGCATTAAAGTTTGCGCTGTATGAAAGTTCTAACACTTCCATTGTCCTTTTCCCCAATAATAGGGTATCTAAGAAAAACCCTTATTATTTTAAGTCAAAGTCAAAAACTTCACTAGCTAGAATCAATATATAGACGGATCCATGTATCATATTAAGGTTTCATATCAACTTCATGTCGGTGCCTGAAATGGGCAAGTTATCACAAACGTCATTGGTTCTTTGATTAATTTTCTATCGTGTCACATCAATGTGGTATTTGGGCAATGAAAGCCCTTCACTAGTAACCAAACTTGTAGAAATCTAAGTTTTACACCCTTTGCATACCTGAGCATAGGGTTTGCATAACTGAGCATAGGGAATTGTCAAACGTGATAGTGAACACTATATGTTATATGACCAATGTTCTTATTTTACGGGTAAGCGCATCACATGGCACATCCGAACCCTACAACACCTACACATGTTGCACCCCTAGTATTATAAAATGAGCAATTTCTACGTTTGTTATTGAGAAGTTGGCAAGACTCACATGGGATCAAGAAACAAACAAAGCGACCATTAATTAATTATAACGAGGCTTTAGATTTAAAAACTTATACGCAATAGACATATTATTATGTATTACTAATATATTTTATGATTTTGACATCATTGCCAATATCAGTTAGGACATTGACCTTCAATTGTTAGAGACAAGCTAATTGAGTTACGACCGGGCGAATAAGAATCGGGTGCGTACATAATACTTGATTAGTGTAGACTTCTTGAGACTTCGTAGCGTAGTCCACACGACATCCTAGCGAATCGTGACAAGCATACACAATTACATGTGGCGATGGGGGCAGAGAGAAATGGTGCCGACCACATTTGTGGCTCCCATTAATTATTGGGTTGCAATTTCGTCATCGTTCTCGGACCACATCGGCCTGCAAATTCGGATCTAATCTTCTGTGGTGAAAAGAGTGATTCTAGGTAGAGCAGCAGCAAACCCAGCAAGAAAGAGTGTTCGTAAGAGGATAATTCGATCCTTAATGAAAGACATGCTATCGATTTCTTACAGTAGACCAAGACTATTTAAACATACCATGAATTGCTGATGGAGAAGCTCGTGTTTTCTCGACCCTATTTTGGATGACGAGGAAACTAGTGACTCATTACATGATATAGAAGAGATCTGCAATGTATAATGTTCGAACTAATTCTATACAGTTGTTTAATGAAGCATGAGGCTCGTTTCGAACCGATCAACTTTATGTTCTTCTATGAGTGGTTGAGTAACGGTGGTTTTGATATATGAGAATATATATTATTTTTTGTATGTCGTGGTATAATTTTATGAATTATTTTGTAAAGTAACTTATGAAGCAGTCGGCTTTTTAGGATTGACGCGGACGCCTAGACGCGGCGATATGCGCACATCTGTGGAGAGCAATCGGGGACAAAAGCTCCGGTGATCCGTGTGTCAATAGCAATTCTGCATAGTGAAATTTTTAGTCATCTTTCTGACAGTTCATGTTCTTGTTTATCGTTTATTTAAGTTTGAGTAAGGGCCCTAAACTAAATAATAAAAACATAAAGATAAGAACGAATATAATAAGGAACTCGATGGGCATTTCAAGCCACTCAATGGGCACTCTATTAAAGAGGAAAACGAAAACATGACACAAACTTTAATGTTTGCATCCAACTTAGTCAACTGTTCAACCCTCACCAAAACCATGGCTTGACTAAAATTAACATGTTCAACCCATCAAGAAAAATAGGGACACGCCAACATAAACTACCTTATTTAATCATCGTATAGGTTGCACCTCCTAAGAGTATAATAAACAACTTTAGCTTGTGTATCGAAGTCAGGAAGGTGCCCTTTTCTTCATTTTCCATTAACGGCGGTGGAATACGTAGATTCGACTTATGCCACATGGGCAAGACACAAGGGAGTGTATTGGCTATGACCCTTTCTAGGCCTTTCGTTTGGGGATTTTGTCTTGAACATAAAGCATATTCAAATTAGTAAATTATTTTAATATGACGTTACTGTGAGTATCGGTCGGGACTGTGACCGTAAATTAGGCAAGGTGCCCGACAAACGAGGAATTGAAAGATAGTGCAGAAGATCGAGTTATAACCGGACGAATTGGAATTGGGCTGGTTAGTCTAGGATATTGTAGACTTCTTTTGACTTCACGGTATCATTCCACGTGTTATATGGGCTCACATCAAGTGTCTACCAATATTGCATGTCTTAGATAGGTATGAGCTTGATGTACTATAATTGTTACATTATATGGATCTCGTATATGAACCATTATTTCCGTTAGATCACATGTGGTGCTTAACTGGGTTCACGTAATCACTTAAGAAATAATACAAGGTATATATCTTGACTTGGATATACATACAAGTTGATTGCAACAGTTACAAATCCATGCACATCCATCAATTGGGGGCAGATTGAGCTGTCGATAGTACCGACCACCATGGTAGGTCACATAGGTTTTTGTAGGGACAGGATGTAGGATCATACAATCTACAAACATATGGTCAATCTTAATCTACGTGGTGAACGTACATTCATGAAATAGGTGAAATTTGTCTTATTTTCGTGAGACGTTATGATAGATCGAACATGATTATCTGTCAAAAAACAAACTGGCATATCTCGTTACATCCTATATATTGGTATTGAAAGTGAGAGAGAGTTTCGGGGCTTGACGATCTATAAAGGTGAGTTAGGGGGTTGATGGCGAAGGATGGTGATGCGTGTTAAAGGAGTGTTGGGATTTCTAGGAGATGGAGGCTAGGGTTTGTGAGAGAGGTTGCGGGCATAGGCATTTGCAAAGGAGGGTAATTTGGTCTTATAATTCTAAGGGTTTTGTCTAGAGGTAGCAAACCGGTATAAATTCAAGTAAAGATATGAAATTGGTCATCGAAAAAAAAGCGAAACTAATACCATTCCAAATGTAAAAGATAGGCCATTTTTGTTAGAACTTTCAAAATAAACTATCGCACATTCTAACTCTATAGCTAGGTACATAAGAAAAAGCTCAACCCAATCTAGATTATGTTATATGAAAATTCATATTTTGACTAAGATTAATGCTAAACAAAGGAATCAGTGGACCATTGGGTAATTCTTTCCAAGAGCAGTTAGGCCAATTGTCAAACTTCGGAAAAATTGTCAAATCAGTCCTAAACCTATTGTACGGCGGCCAATTCAGTCCTAAACCTTTTAATTTTGCCAATTCAGTCCTAAACATTTCTAATTCTTGCCAATTCAGTCCTTTCGGCCAATTTTGACGGGCCAGCGCTGACGTGGCCTCCGGCCGTCTGGCCAACGCTGACGTGGCAATTTTTTATTATTTTTTTTCAATTTGTTAATCTTTTTTTTTCTGATTTCTTCCTCTAGCCGGTTCGGTGACCGGCGGCCGGCCAGAGAGGAGGGCCGGCGAGGTCGACCTTGTCGGCCTCGCCGCTGCTGAGGCGAGGCCGACCTTGCCGTCGCCTGGTTTGCGACGGCGAGGTCGGCCTCACCGCTGCTGGGCGAGGCAAGGCCCAGTAGCGGCGAGGTCGACCTCGCCAGCCTCGCCGCTGCTGAGGAAAGGCCGACCTCGCCGTCACCTGGGGCGCGACGGCGAGGTCGGCCTTGCCGCTGCTGGGCCTCGCCTCGCCCAGCAGCGGCGAGGCCGACCTCGCCGTCGCTTGGGTCGCGAAGGCGAGGTCGACCTTGCCTCAACAGCAGTGAGGCCGGCGAGGTCAACCTCGCCGGCCCTCACCTCTGGCCGGTCGCCGGACCGGCCAAAGGAAGAAATCATAAAAAAAAAGAAAAAAAAAGATTAAAAAAGATTAAAAAATTGAAAAATAATAATAATAAATTGCCACGTCAGCATTGGCCGGACGGCTAGCGCCGGCCAGCGGCCACATCAGCGCCGACCGGTCAAAATTGGCCGGAAGGACTGAATTTGCAAGAATTAGAAAGGTTTAGGACTGAATTGGCAAAATTAAAAGGTTTAGAACTGAATTGGCCGCCGTACAGTAGGTTTAGGACTGATTTCACAATTTTCCCGTCAAACTTCAACTGAAGCAAATCTACAAAAAGTAAGATCGGATCAATCTGTGGGGACATGTAGTGTAGCTTTTAGTCGTGGGCAGGTAAAAAACATCTTTTTAGAATAATATGATTCTGTTGACATAGTCTTAAGTAGTTAAATTATCCAAATATAAAAAATTAATGTTTTTAATTCATCCATTGTTATCTTCTCATGTATGTCCTGATATCAGTAGGTTAAAAATTCATTATTCCTTCTTTTATTATACTTCACAAGTGAGTCAAAAGCAGTTGATCAGAATTTTTAGATCTTTGGTACCCCTGTTTAGATAAGGATCTGCTGTCTCTTTCCTAAATAAGCAAAACCTATTTACGTCTTTCATCAACTATTAATCATATTCCGGTCGCGCATCTACGTTGGCTGAGGGTTTAGGAGTATGAACAAATTCTTCGTGCTTGCGGGACATGGCAATGTTAGATTGCATAAGAGGACACTTAGAAGAGTTTAACAAAGAAAAGCTCACGGCTAGCAAATACTCAACATATATTAACGAGGGCAAAGTTCTGGAAATGCTCAAGCAAAGTACAAACATCCTATAAAACATGGAACACAAATAACCAACCAGCTAACACGGTAGTACCAGATACTATATGAACCACCTCTTATTTGAAAGCGTGATAAGCACACGACATATACATTCATTGAAGAACGCACAGTCAGTTCTCGGGGAACGGCTTCTAATTTTCATCGGCTACCACTTCCTCTGCAAGCATGTGTCCGGGGTGGTGCGGGTGGTGGTGGTGGTGGTGGTGGTGGTGTGAGTCCTCGACTTCAACGGTCTCCAAGAGACGGCGGTCACCGTGATGGTGCTTGTGGTGGTGCTTGTGCTCTTTTTCTTTTTCATCGGCTACCACTTCCTCAGCAAGCATGTGGCCGGGGTGTTGGGGATGGTGGTGGTGGTGGTGGTGGTGGTGGTGGTGCGAGTCCTCGACTTCGACGGTCTCCAAGAGACGGCGACCGCCCGGGTGGTGCTTGTGGTGGTGCTTGTGGTGGTGCTCGTGGTCTTTTTCGACCTCCTCAGAGAAGACCGCGGCGGCAAAGAGCACCGCTCCCAGGAGCAAAACTAGCAAGTACCTGGAAGACATCGGGTGACTAGTTTGAGAGAAGAGGATCTGTGAGAGAGCTGATGGTGTGGGAATGGAGTGACGGGAGTGTCTCAATTTATAGTGGTTTCGGGATATTGTCGTCGTCACCGATCACGTCACTTGGTATTTTCCTGAGATTGAATAAATCGGCCAGGGCATATGAGACTGCACATTGAATAAGAAAATGAGGTGCTGTACTGGACTCTCTTGCTTTCTACAGGCAAATTTTGCATTGTGCCAGTTCATCTTTGAGGAGACACATGTTAATGAATAACTTCGCTTTATGACAATCCAAAAGTGCTCATGTAGATTTTAAATACAATAATAAAAGGAAAATGACACTAGAAGTGCCATAACTTTTGTACAGCCGGCAACTTTAGTGTCAAAACTTTTCGACGGTTCACTTCAGTGCCACTTTGGTAAAAAAATGATTACTTAAATGCCAATTCTGATTTGGGATGCAGGAATTCAAACGTGGCAATATTTTAACATTTCTTCCTGATAACGTGGCTTGCTGTAAATCCAACGTAACAAAGTTGAGTGAAAAGTAATCACTTGAGTGTCAATTTTTGTTAAAAGTTATCATTTATGCTTTGCAACTTTTTAAAAAGTGATTTGTTGATTTCACTTTCTTAAACATGATTAGACCATTTGGTGTGCAACGAACATTGCGTACAAACTTGGAAACACATAAAAAACAATTACTCCATTAACAATGGCTTAGATTAAAATCAAGCATCATTGCACTCAAAATAAGGTTGTCTTGTATCAATATAATGTCCCCAACAAGTCAAACACCTCCCCTACTAAACGCAGCAGCACCAGAAAAAAAACAAGTCCAGAACCTCCCCAGCAACGACCTCCTCAAGTATCTGCAGCAAAATATATATATGCAGCAGCACCAGCAATAAAACAAGTCAAAAACCTCCCCAGCAACAACCTCCCTAAGTATATGCAGCAGCACTAGCAAAAAACAAGTCAAAAACCAAGCCCTAATTTCTTCGCACGAAGAACCAAGCCCCAATTTATTCCCTCCAAGCCCCAACTTTTTCCGGCGTCGATTAAGTGTGTGAGTGAGAAAGGATGACGGCGATTGAATGACTGAGTTAAAAAGTGATTGAGAAAGGGAGCGAGCTAGTGCAAACAACGAACGAGAGTGAGAGAGAGTAAAGTCAACAAAAACAACGACAGAAGAGAGATTTGTCTATTTTTAGAGAGAGTGATTAATTTTGAAGGATATGATATCATTTTGTTATGAACGGTCACTTCACCGTCCATGTTGGACTCGTTTTTTACATAAAAAAGCCACATATGAATAAAAATCGGGATAAGAACAGTAAGAGTGCCATAACTTTCGTACGGTACTCACTTGAGTGTTCTAACTTCTTTTCCGCTCACTTAAGTGCCACAAATTTGAAAAATTAATCATTTCAGCGCCATCGGTGAATTTGTCTCCTCGGAAAATCCGACGTGGACGCCGGTCAATTTACGTGGCACCGCTAACACTGACATGGACAATTTTTGTAATTTATTTCACTCACTTAAATTCCACAAATTTATAAAATTGATCACTTAAATGCCACAAATTTGAAAAATCAATCATTTAAACCCCATCGACAATTTGTTTCATTGGAAAATCCGCTACCGACCTCGCCTAGATCTAGTGAGGCCTCGATGGCGCTGGGCGAGGCCATCAGTGCCTCACCAACCGTAGGCAAGGGCGCGAAGGCCCTCTCCTATCACGCGCGAGGCAACCTCGCCATGAAGGCCATCGCACACGGCCAACGAGGCCGCCATGGCCCTGGGTGAGGCCGCGAAGGCCCTGTCGGCCAAGGGCAAGGCCTTTGCGTCCAGCACAAAGAAAAAAAAATCAAAAAGGAAAATAAAAAATAAAAATAAAAGTAAATTATTTTTTAAAAAATAAAAAAAAATCCATGTAAGAGAATTTGCCAGAAGTGGCACTCAAATGATCGATTTTACTTCGATATTGCACTTAAGTGAACGAAAAAAAAAAATTGACACTCAAATAAGCACTGTGCAAAAGTTATGGCATTCCTGTTGTACTTTTCCTAATAAAATTCTATTAAAAATTGCCATGTAGCTTTTTGTGGAATTTGTTGCTGGAGACACTCAAGTGATTATTTTTCTCCAATGTGGCGCTAAGTGATTCGGTGAAAAGTTTTAGCACTGTAGTTAGCACTGTATGAAAGTTCTAGCACTTCCAATATCCTTTTCCCTAGTAACAGCGGATCTAAGAAAAATCCTTATTATTCTAATTCAAAATCGAAAGCTTCACTAGCTATAATCAATAGACAGATCCATGTATCATATTAAGGTTTCATATCAACTTCATGTTGGTGCATGAAATGGGTAAGTGCCCACGAACATCATTGGTTCTTTGATTAATTTTTATCGTGTCACATTGATGTGGTATTTGGGCAATGAAAGCCCTTCACTAGTAACCAAGCTTGTAGAAATCTAAGTTTTACACCCTTTGCATACCTGAGCATGGGGATTGCGTAACTGAGCATAGGGAATTGTCAAACGTGATAGTGAACACTATATATTATATGACCAATGTTCTTATTTACGGGTAAGCGCATCACATGGCACATCCGAACCCTACAACACCTACACATGTTGCACCCCTAGTATTATAAAATGAGCAATTTCTAGGTTTATTATTGAGAAGATGCATGGCAAGACTCACATGGGATCAAGAAACAAACAACGCGACCGTTAATTATAACGAGGCTTTAGATTTAAAAACTTATACTCAATAGACATATTATTATGTATTACTAATATATTTTATGGTTTTGACATCGTTGCCGATATCAGTTAGGACGTTGACCTTCAATTGATAGAGACAAGCTAATTGAGTTATGACCGGGCGAATAAGAATCGGGTGCGTACTTACTACTTGATTAGTGTAGACTTCTTGGGACTTCGTAGCGTAGTCCACACGACATCGTGGCAAATCGTGACAAGCATACACAATTACGTGTGGCAATGGGGGCAGAGAGAAACAGTGCCGACCACGTTTGTGGCTCTCATAAATTATTGGGTTGCATTGGCGTCATTGTTCTAGGACCGCATCGCCCTGCAAATTTGTATCTAGTCTGCTGTGGTGAAAAGAGTGATTCTAGGCATAGCAGCAGCAAACCCAGCAAGAAAGAGTGTTCGTAAGAGGATAATTCGATCCTTAATGAAAGACATGCTATCGATTTCTTATAGTAGACCAAGACTATTTAAACATACCATGAATTGCTGATGGAGAAGCTCGTGTTTTGTCTACCCTATTTTGGATGACGAGGAAACTAGTGACTCATTACATGATATAGAAGAGATCTGCAATGTATAATGTTCGAACTACTTCTATACAGTTGTTTAATGAAGCATTAGGCTCGTTTCGAACCGATCAACTTTATGTTCTTCTATGAGTGGTTGAGTAATGGAGGTTTTGATATATGAGAATATATATTATTTTCTTGTATGTCGTGGTATAATTTTATGAATTATTTTGTAAAGTAACTTATGAAGCAGTCGGCTTTTTACGATAGACGTGGACGCCTAGATGCGGCGATATGCGCACATATGTGGAGAGCAATCGGGGACAAAAGCTCCGGTGATCCGTGTGTCAATAGCAATTCTGCATAGTGAAATTTTTAGTCATCTTTCTGACAGTTCATGTTCTTGTTTATCGTTTATTTAAGTTTGAGTAAGGGCCCTAAACTAAATAATAAAAACATAAAGATAAGAACGAATATAATAAGGAACTCGATGGGCATTTCAAGCCACTCAATGGGCACTCTATTAAAGAGGAAAACGAAAACATGACACAAACTTTAATGTTTGCATCCAACTTAGTCAACTGTTCAACCCTCACCAAAACCATGGCTTGACTAAAATTAACATGTTCAACCCATCAAGAAAAATAGGGACACGCCAACATAAACTACCTTATTTAATCATCGTATAGGTTGCACCTCCTAAGAGTATACTAAACAACTTTAGCTTGTGTATCGAAGTCAGGAAGGTGCCCTTTTCTTCATTTTCCATTAACGGCGGTGGAATACGTAGATTCGACTTATGCTCACATGGGCGAGAAACAAGGGAGTGTATTGGCTATGACCCTTTCTAGGCCTTTAGTTTGGGGATTTTGTCTTGAACATAAAGCATATTCAAATTAGTAAATTATTTTAATATGACTTTACTGTGTGTATCGGTTGGGACTGTGACCGTAAATTAGGCAAGGTGCTCGACAAACGAGGAATTGAATGATAGTGCAGAAGATCGAGTTATAACCGGACGAATTGGAATTGGGCTGGTTGGTTTAGGATATTGTAGACTTCTTTTGACTTCACGGTATCGTTCCACGTGGCATATGGGTTCACATCAAGTGTCTACCAATATTGCATGTATTAGATATACGTATGAGCTCGATGTACTATAATTGTTACATTATATGGATCTGGTATATAAACCAATATTTCCGTTAGATCAAATTTGGCGCTTAATTGGGTTCACGTAATCACTTAAGAAATAATACAAGGTATATATCTTGACTTGGATATACATAGAAGTTAATTGCAATTGTTACAAATCCATGCACATGCATCAATTGGGGGCAGATTGAGCTGTTGACAATACCGACCACCATGGTAGGTCACATAGGTTTTTGTATGGACGGGACATAGGACCATACAATCTACAAGTATATGGTCAATCTTAATCTACGTGGTGAGCGTACATTCATGAAAAAGGTGAAATTTGTCTTCTTATCGTGAGACATTATGATAGATCAAACATGATTATCTATCAAAAAACAAACTAGCATATCTCGTTACATCTTATAAATTGGTATTGAAAGTGGGAGAGTTTCAGGGCTTGAAGATCTATAAAGGTGAGTTAGGGAGTTGTTGACACCTAATTATGTCCGTCTCGTTAAATCGACGCTTAAATTTTAAGTGGGCCAAACTAATGTAAAAGAGAGACAT